AAAAATGTTTTAAGACTTTTTTTCATGGCCTAACGTGTTCAATCCTGGAGAGTGTTCCATGTGCACCTAAGAGTGTGAAGTCTGCTGTTGTTGCCTCGAGAGTGTTCTGTGTATTTCTGGTAGGTCCAAGTAGTCTGTAAGTGTTCAAAATCCTGTCTACCCATCTTCTGGTTGTTCTACCCATTATTATTATTATTATTATATTATTATTATTATTATTATTATTTTTTGTTCTACCCATTATTAAGTGAGTTATTGAATCTCCTACTATTATTGTCTTGCTATCTATTTCCCTCTTGAATTCTGTTTTTGCTTCATATATTTCAGTGCTACAGAATTTGTTGCCTATATAAACTGTTGTATCTTCACAGTGAATTGACTGCTTTGTCTGATTTTAGTATAGCCACCTCTGTTCTCTTTTGGTTACCATTTACACTGAATATCTTTTTCCATTCTTTCATTTTCAGCTTTTATGTGTCCTTAGACCTAAAGTTAGTCTTTTATAGATAGTATGTAGTCAGATTCTCTTTTTTTTATCTTACCCATTGAGCCAGCCCGTTAAGGTCTGTTAATTAGGGAATTCAATCCATTTACATTTAATGTAAATACTGCTAGGGAAGGAATTACTATTGCTATTTCATTAACAGTTTTCTGTATGTCTTACAGCTTTTTTTTTTTGGTCCCTCATTTTCCCTTCCTTTTCTTTTGTGTTTCATTAAATTTTTGGTAGTGACAAGCTTTGATTTCTTTCTCATTTTTGTGTAAATTCTGGAGATATTTTGTGATTACCATGGAGATTATATATAAAAAAATCTTAGTTATAAAAATGTATCTTCACTGCTATCTTGAATTACATACAGAAACTCCATTCCTTTACATTTCTGCCCACCTCCAAATTATATCTTCATAGATCTTGTGCCCATTAACACAGATTTCTTTTATGCTTTTGTCTTTTGAATTGTATTCAAGAACTAAAAGTGGATTTATGTGCCTAAATTACAGTAATATAGGTTTGTGTATTTGTCACATATTTACTGTTATCAGAGAATTTTATATTTTCACGTGGCCTTGCATTGCTCTGTAGCATCCTTTTCTTTCAACTTAAAGGACTTACTTTAGCATTCCTCGTAGGGCAGGTCTAGTGAAAATAAATTTCCCTCAGATAAATTCTAGGAAAGTCCTAATTTCCCTCCCCTATTTTTAAAGAACAGTTTTGCCAATACTGTATTCTTAGTCAGTAGTTTTTTCCTTTTAGCACTTAGATTGTATTGTTCTCCTACTCTCTGGCCTGTAAAGTTTCGTTGGGTTTAAGTAATCTCTATGTTCAACATGGGGCTTGAGCTCATGACCCTGAGATCAAGAGTCACCTGCTCCACACACTGAGCCAGCCAGGCACCCCTCTGGCCTGTAAGATTTATGCTGAGAAACCTGTTGAAATCTTGAGATGCTCTCTTGTACAAGACAACTTTCAGGATTTTTTTTTTTTTTCATCAGTTTGGTAATAGTGTGTTCCACTGTGGATTTCTTTGGATTTGTTGAGCTTCTTGAATTAGTATGCCGTTTCTTTTTTCAAATTTGGTAAATTTTCATTTCCTCTAAATAAGTTCTCTGCTCCTTTTGCTTGCTCTTTTCCAATAACATGTACATCGACGTGCTTGATGATGCCCCGTAAGTCCCTATGGTTCTCTGCATTTCATTTTTCTTTTTTGTCCCCCTAACTTGGTAATATCAAATAACTTGTCTCCAGGATCACTGGTTCTTTGTTCCATCTGCTCAAATCCGATGAACTCTGCTAGTGAATTTTTCAATTGTTTTCTTCAGCTCAGAATTTTTTTTTTTAAATAGTTTGTCTCTTTGACAACAATCTCATCTTGTGTGTTTTCCTTCTTTTTGTTAATCTTGTTTTTATTCACTGAGTATCTTTTAAGGCAATTGTTTTAAATTCCCATCACTTATTTCAGAGATCTGCATTTCTTTAGGGTCAGTTTCTGGAGATTTTTGTGTTGTAGATTAGCCATGTTCCCTTGTTTCTTTGTTTTGTGAACTTTGTTGGGATTTGGGCATTTGAAAAAGTAACTTATTCCAGCTTTTACAGACTGGGTTTTGTCATCAGCCTAGCCAGAAGTTCTGGAACCTCTCAAACCTTTTTTGGGGATGTATCCTCTGGGTTTGTGTGTATACTTTCATTCCATTCTTCCACCCTAGTCGGTCCTTCAATCTGAAGACCACTAACCCATTCCCCTCACCCGCTATGCCTCCTCCTTCTCCATGTCACCATCTTTTAAATTGTCAAATTTATCAGTTGATGATTTGACAGTTTCTGCTTTTAATGGTCTGAATTTTTCTAAGAGGCTTGCCTGTTTCTTCTCAGGACTTTGGTTTTTATTGTATCTGTACTCTCTTGCAACCTCTGCAGTGCCTGCAAAGCTGTAAGCTCCCCAGTGTTCTAATGTATCTGTGTGCTCACTTTTGTTTTTAGTGGCTTTCAACCAACATCCAAACCATGCCACCACTCCCACTAGTGCTCCAAGTAGGAGAGATAGATTCTGGTGTGTCAAGGCAGGCCCAAGTCAAGCTAGAATGTTGGACACAAGTTCTACTTCTTTTTTCTTTCTGCCCTGAGGGAGGAGCCAGGAATTAGAACTTCTCATTTGTGCCATGCTGTGCCTGTAGTAGGGAGAAGGCCAGGATGAGCATGTTTCCATTAACTTTCCTGCACTTTTTGGTACAGCTTCCTCCTGGTTTTGTGTTTGCCTGGGTGCTGTAGCTCCCCAAGTGGGCTCTAGGGTCTTCACAACGGTTATTTTGGTCCTGAGTGTTAACTCGGTGTCTCCATAGGAAATGAGGACCTGGAACTTCATTGGTGGTGTCCCTTCCTATTCACCTGGCTTTTGCTATCCCTTGATATTCACTAGTCAAAAATATGCCAATAAATTTTCACGGTATCTTGATGGAAGGCATGCTTATCCAACAAATTTTATTTAAAACTAAAATACCTAAACCATTAGAAAAATAACCTCTAAGCTTTTAAATGAATTTGAAATGAGCACCATTTGTATAAACTTAAAAATTGTAAATACAGATGTGTTTGGAATTTCTTAGATACTGAATTAAATTTGGCCTAATAAAAAATTTCCTCAATTTTTACAAAAAAACTTTTAGATTTAAAAAAATGAATCCTGTGAACCTCAACCAGAAATCTTCATGATTTAATTTTCCTCTTACAGGGGAGGGTTTTGGTATCCCATAGGTATTCTATTTTACCTTCCTCAATTATTTTGTCATCTTAGTTTAAAAGATTATAGTAACATTACAAATCCTGTGTGTTTAGTTTTGAGAAAACATTCAGAGTAACAGGAAACACCTGTTCAATGAACAGTGTTGAAACATAAACTGTGTATCACAGGCCTGTCTTTGTTACTTTAGGTAGAAGCATATTTGTTGGTTTTCACTTCAACTTGTGATTTCTAAGTGATTCTATAAGCTTCAGTGGACTAAGATAATACATGCAGTTGATCTTGTTTTGTGATCATCCTATTACTTGATTAGAACCTCTATTAGAAACTTGTATTAAGAGGAAGTGTAAAGAATCAAGAGATGAATGAGCAAAATTTTAACCATATACAGTGTCACCTTATTTGTTGGGTTCACCTGTACTGCTAGAACTCAGCAGAAGGCAGAAAAGGGCAAAAGCATGATGCAAATTCAAGAGGAAGGTACATGTATACATTACTGGAAGCTAATTAGAAATGGATGTATGTTTTTTTTAAATATAAAATATATTGATAATAATAGCCTTGTCTTCTCATCAGGGTAACTTTGACGGTGGGAACCACTTCTATTTAAAATTGTGCCTCCCTCCTCTCACCCACACACATTATAAATTTGTAGGTTACTAGATTGAGCTCAAATGTTTTGATGAGTAACAGATATTACAATAGCTTTGATTAAATTTAGAGCTTGATGATATAATTGATGTAAATTTGACAGTCTCATTTTTGTTGTCACTCTAATTAGCCTGTTTCTAATTTTTTTTTTAAAGTAATCGCTACACCCAATGTGGGGCTCAACCTTATAACCCCAAGATCAAGAATTATACACTCAACCAACTTTTTTTTTTCTTTTAAGGGGGTAGGAGAGAGGTTTAACATATTCACCAAATTAAAGGACAACATACTGTAGACACAAGACAATTTAGAAATCTAAACAAAATGGAAGGTAGACTAGTGAAATTTACCAAATTTTGGTTAAGAAAACTATACAGTAATAGAAGAACACTGGAGCCTCCTTTTCTAAAAATTACAGCCTAAATAATTTAAAGAAATGAGAATTGCTGTATTTAAGATTTTATTTATTAAAATAAATAAAGCAGGAAAAGGGCAGAGGGAGAAGCAGATTCCCTGCCAATACCCCAAGGAGGGGCTTGATCTCAGGACCCTGAGATCATGACTTGAGCTGAAGTCAGAGGTTTAATCAACTGAGCCACCCAAGCACCCCAACAATTCAAATTTTAGTTTACATTCGGTATTAACCTGTATGAACTGTCATACCTGGCAAGATTCAGCAGGTTTATAGACCAATTATTTGCAGGCCTTAGCCTGCCAGGTGTCCCTCGTTTCTAATAATTATTTGAACTCTAAAACCTCAGTTCAGGGATCCCTGGGTGGCGCAGCGGTTTGGCGCCTGCCTTTGGCCCAGGGCGCGATCCTGGAGACCTGGGATCAAGTCCCACGTCGGGCTCCCGGTGCATGGAGCCTGCTTCTCCCTCTGCCTCTCTCTCTCTGTGTGTGTGACTGTCATAAATAAAAAAAAAAATAAAAAAAAAATTAAAACCTCAGTTCAAAAGGAACATGGCATGAGGTCATAAAATGGTCTTAGATAAGATCATGAAGGTCCACTCTTCTTTGTAACCTTTAAAAGGGTGTGAATCTACCAGGCTAATAAAAGTAATGGTACCTCTGAAGTCATGACTTTTTAAGAGATTGAGATAGCACATAAAATTGGAGAAAAAAAATGATTCTTTATTGAAAAATACCAATAATACTGACAGACTTCAAAAGCAATTCACGCTTCCAGAATACAAAGTATACTTAATATATTTTTTCAAATCTTTTCGCATTTCAAAGTTATTAGCATTTTTGTAAATCAAATTTGATAACCTGACTAAAAATATTTTCCAGCTTTATTATTTAAAGAGCTGCACAATCTTTAAATTGGGGACCATGAGGTGGGCAGGGACAGAACACACCTGGGACTGCGCAGCAGTCTACAGCAACATCTCCCACAATGTCAGTGCTGGAAACAAAATACTGCACAAGACAGCTGCCCTCCAGTGTCAGAGATCTTGGGAAACAGCACATCAAAAAATAGCTAGCTTTTCTTATAAGTCATACACTTTCATTTAAGATTGCTTTTTGAGGGAAATCTTTAAGAATGCCACTGTAATTTAATTCATCCAATGAAAGAAATGAACTGTTACCATCGACATGGTCTTTGCCGAGCTGTAATAATTCTATGCTTTTTTTAGATGCAAAAAAATTAACACATATGCAAGTTTAATTCGAAACCACACAAATTATGTATGTAGGCTCAGATAGTAGCAGTGTTCACTTTTATTACTAATAGCTTAACTGGAACAGCCACTCTATTCATTCCACCAGCAGAAATAGCAGCACCAAGATCTAAAATTCTTTATGTATAAAAAGCTTATATCATTATCCAAGTCCCATTCTTTGCATGCTCCAATTCTTGTTATCTTATTTAACATAAAAGCAACAGGATTTGGAGAGTTACTATTTGCTGTATTAAAACAGTTGTACACCATCTTGTACTGTCAAAAAGCAAAATACTGTGAACGGCAGCCCTTCTTCACAGCTCTACACTTGAAGCTGCCAATAAGCGTTCACTGCTCGTGCCAGCAGTGGTATTTCCACAGTAACATAGCAAAAACTAAAGAAATCATGGCACAATGGATTTCTGAATTCTTTTATCTACCATTGGTCCTGGGGCTTAGTACCATCCCCTTGTAGACTATATCTGCTGATCATTCCATCATCTCTAATGGAGGAAAGGCATCAGGTCATATAGCGGGTAATGGCTCTCAGAGCGTAGAGGAGTTCTGCTTGCATTCTAGCTTCTATAAGAAGCAGATTAACATGGACCTAAATATAAAACACAACATTATTTAAGCATTCTCAGTTTTTCAATGCATCTAATAAACCCCCAAACTAAGTGTATTTTCTGTGTGCCACTGAGTAACTTAGAAATCTTGACTTAGTCTCAAAATGAAAGTCATCCTAGGTTCTTTTTGGATAGATGTTGGGCTTGTATTTGTTATATTTCAGAAAACCTAGACATTGCTTTAAGTAGAATACCAACTTCCCCTGTGAAATCCTCATTTAATAATTATATATAATAATCCTCATTTAATAATTTAAATAATTTTAAAACGATAGCTCAAAGACCAGACATTTCTATCTATAAACAATGAAAAATGAAGGAAGAGCTCTTGCAAAATGGTTTTCTTTCTCCCAAGCGCTGACAGCCATGCCAGCACTTCTGAACTGGGGCCAGCCACCTGTCTTTATTCTTTTACTCTAGCATTATAATGAGGTTCCTTCCAGGGGATACCAGACAGATGTGCAGGTATGTTCTTCTCTGGTTTGGAAAAGGATTTGAGGGCCACAGATCAGGAGGAGAATGAGAATCACTAAGTTAAAGAGCAAACCACAATAGGTACATACCTTCTCAGAGTGCTTAAACTGCCTCCAGAAGCTATCATACATTCTTTTGGTAACTTTTTCGGGAGTGCAAACAACAGTTTTGATATAAACTTTAAAGCTACGATCCAATAGCTGGTTAATTTCACCATAGTCATAGTCGTCATATCTGTTAAGAGAAAATGAGAATTACTATATTTTCAACATATGGTCTGTTTTATTATGAAAGCATGGACGTTAATGATAAATGCTGTATTCTTCTTCCTTGTGTAGGCACCTGTCCCCCACAATAACTGATTTACAATGTTTAATTGGGGATGGATGAGTGAATATAAAGGGATAAGAAGCAGAGAAGTTAGGGAAATGAATAGAAAATTTGTTAGAGACCAAGCAACAGTATATATTTATAATCATAAAGAAGTAAACACACTGTGGAAACAGTTTGAGTATTGCTGAAATTAAGAATTTGACAAATGATTTACTATATATATATATATATATATATATATAAATCATAATCCACTTGTAAATGAAAATGACTACAATTAATCCTTTTTTTTCCCCCTCAGGTTTCCAGGAGTTTCTGTGATCAGATGGGGAAAAAAATAGTGGGGGAGTGGGAGATGATTATTCCAGAGGGAAGAATGATCTATAGATGGCCTCACAGCGTCTATTCAGGATAGGCTGTTCTGCTTTAAGCTGAGATGGTTGATGGTTTTTAGGATTGCCAGACACTGAAGTCTCTTATTTGGTTTTCAGTGGAAAAGGAAAAAAGCTCTTGCTTGCAAAGTTGGCTCTACTACTATTCTGGAGGCCGAGTCAGTAGTCTTGATCACTGATAAAATGAATAGCAAGAGAAACCCTGATTTTACATGAAGGTCCTATAGGGTGGAGTTCGTGTGTATGTTAGAAGGTGGTGTGTATGTGTATATATAATGGTTGCATTGCCTATTTAACATAATGTAGCTCAATACCTAACAGGACATGAAAGTTTTATGTTTTGATGAAGTATCACGGGAGCAGGTACTCTTCAGAAGTAGCATAAGAACAGCTAGTGGGGTACTTAAGAGATGATGCCAAAGATGTTTGGTGTTGAAGTTTTCATCTATGCTCTAGGACAGCTTGCTTGCCCACCCCTTCCCTGGAGGCATCTGTCATTTAACTCTTGCCAATGTCCCTAACTCTCCCTCCTGCCTAGCTAGGAGAGAGGAAATAAACCAAGCTACAATAAATTGATTCATAAGCAGCATAAAAATAAAACCATCCCTTCCCCCAATAGCTTGAGTATTTGTATATGTCTGTCTGTGTGCATGTTTCAAGTACCTGAATAATTTAGCCCAAAGGAAAATATTTCTTTATAAACAGAAGAGACTAACCTTATTCCAAACATGCAGTGAATATAGTTCCAAATAGCCCGTCTAAGCATTGAGGTATCGACATCTTTGTGCATTGCCATTGTATTATAAGTAAGATTGTAAGCAATGTGAAATTTTTCATCAATCAACTGTCCCACATCTGGATAAAGGCGATTTACCAAAGAATAACCATGGTCTTCCCAGCAATAGTCCTAAATACAGAGAACAGAACAAATGCAAATAATTAAAATGTAGCTAAGACAGTTCTATGTCTACTGCTCTGTTGTATGGGGAGATTACTGGTCGCTGAAGTGTACTGCCTCTCTAGTGCATCCTAGCTCCCAGCTTCACTTGCAGTGCAATCTGATGTTTTCAGTTTCTATACTGCAGCATGCAAAGCTTTAGTAACTCAGTGAGTTTAAAAACCAATGGAATCGTTCTTACACAGAGGCCACCCATTTTCAGCTTTCACTCTCTCCTCATTCCACATCCAGAGGCAACCTATCTTGGGAGTACTCTCTCGTTTTCCATTGCTGCAGCTATTCCGATGGCCCTCAAATTTTGTAAATTTTTAATTCAGCACAACCACCACTCATTCCTTTCCCTTCTACCTCCTTTCTCTTAGGACTATTAACTGAGTTTCCTAATTAGTTTTCCTACATAAATTTTCCTGCTTCCTTTCTATCTCAAGCAAAATAAGCCCCTACACTACGTTGCTCTCATAATATTTTTCCTGAAACACCTCTTTGATATGTTATCACTCTGGTCTCCAAAATCTACAAACCTGACCGATTTTCAACTAGCTTCCCCCTAATCAGAAGCAGGAATTCTGTGCTTGAAGCACTCATCAGCCCAGCCAACTTCTTTATGATCCCTTCCTTCACTCTTTCAACATAAGCTCAATTATTGCCTACAGTCTCCTCTGCTTTACACAATGCCCATGCTTTTGGACCATTAAAATCCATCAAATTCTAACTTCCTCCATAAAATTTCCAGCCCACATGATCTCTTCAATTCTACTTCATGACACACTTACACTATCAAGCAGAAGTAATTTATAAAACCGTTAGTTATGCCTAATTTTTGTCCCTTTATGTTTTTTTAAAAAATTTTTGTCCCTTTAAACAACATCTTTATCACTTGAGCAAGAATAAAATCTTACAGTTCTCAAATTTTCATATTTCTGGGAAGTTATTTAACATTGGCCCCTCACAATAATTGAAGGAGTTGGAATATCAGCTCATGTGAATTAAATATTTACCTATCTAAATTAAATATTTATAGAACAGACTATTTAAAAAATACACTTAGGCTGCAGTATGTTTCTACTAATGGATTGGACTGGAAGCAGTCTTACAAAGCTTAGAGCATAGAATAAATATTTGCTAATTAATTGATGATTCTCAACTTTTAATGTGGAACCAGAGAAGATAGCATAGCTACTGTTGCTCCTGAGAGGTGTTTGCAAAGCACTTTTAGCATAGTGCCTCCTACCAAGCAAAAAAAGAAGGAGCCTGGTATCCTACAGCCATAACTGGTATCCTAGAGGACCACTGGGTCCCTAAGTTTCCATGGACTCAATATATACACAATTGTACTGAGGAAGTTTTACTGTGTATTTCAAAGTTAATGTTTTGGAAGCTAAAGAAACTGGGTCTACCAACAATAATTCTACTCCCTACTTCACTAATTTTATTTACTCTAAGAAGTGCTAGTAATTTTGGAATAACATCTATATGAATCCTCTCAAGCTTTAAATTTAAAATCCTCAAAAATTCTCTTTGCCTCAAATAACATTCAGTACATATTTTAAAGGAAATTAGGATACTGTAATTGTCATTATTTATTTTCTATGCTATCTGTAAGAACTCACTCTCCCTAAAAAGAATAAAGTACATCTTTTACTTTTGATTTTTTTCATCGTCTTTCTCTCCACTCACATACATATAATGCTTGGGATGCTGGGGACATTTCTCTTGTCACTCAGGCCTGGTGTGTATCAGGGCCTCACGAGGAAAGGGGGAGAAAAACCAATGCTACATACATGCTACTATTATTCACTGTTTAGATATATTAGGAACTTGAGTTTTAGCACACTGTCTGGGAACCTAACCCACCATTATGATTTAGTTTTACAGATGAATGTGTTTTGATTTCTGATCAACTGGTTTCTGAACTTTAACAATAAATATACTTAAAGGAATTGCCTGACATAGAAAAGTTATTTCTTTCTGCAACATTTTGGAATTCTCATATCCAGGGGACTTTTCCTAACCAGTCACATGTACAACAGTAAGTTGCAATTTTACCTGAACTCGAAATGTTGGAACATGCATCCCATGTCTAGAGAAATCCTTATAGCCATAACTAGTATCCTCAAAGTGACGAGATACATCTCTTGCTGGTGTGACTTCTTCATCATCTGAAATAATTTAAAAAGCCACTGAAAGCTTTTCAAAAACAGGATACTAGTTAAAATTCATTTTACCTATAACAAGTAAAAATAGGATAACCCTTTCTCTGATACCAACTAATCAACTGAAAGTCTTAAACCACAGAGAAATAGCTTATCAGTAAATGGAATGTAGTAAGATTCTGTTATAAAAAGTATTCATGGTTGAATTTTCTATGCTTTGCATTCCTTTCTTTCCTATGTCCTCTGCATCCCCACTCCAATTTTGGATATTAAGTTTTATCTTAAAAGTATGCAAAGTTAAAAAAAAAAGTACGCAAAGTTGAACACTCTTTTGGAAAATTTTTATGGTGATTAAATAGTCTATACACTTTAGCACCTGTATTATTTCTGGTTGAATATTAATGTCCTACAATATATAGTGTGATCTCTCTAACACCTCAAAGGTCCTAGAAACAATTCTGGAATGGTGAATCAATTTTAATAATGTTTCCTGAACTGCTCTAAGCCTTTCTGGATTATTTTCATGTTTGTTTGAGGAAAATAGAAACAAAAACTTTTCATCAAGGAGAAACAAGAGAACATCCAACCTTCATTTATACGAATTTGATTTTTTCTTTGCTATTAGGAAATTTAGTGCTTTTAACACATATATTCTTTATCCCCACTCTGTTATCAAAACACATTTTGAGACACTTTAACTTTTTTTCCTTTAAATTACCTGGTTTATATATTAAATTCTATAGCCTGTATATAAAGGCCAAACGTAAAGGATTCAAGTTTGTTGTTAGTTGTCTAATAAATAGCTCCTTTGCACAAATCATTGAATTTTAAAGCTGAAAAGCAATTTTAGGGCTTTATGAACTCGATTTCCTAATTTTAAAGAGAAAAAAGAGAGCATTCATATGTTAAGTGACTTACATTCACAAGGTTTATTGGCAGTGATTTTAGTACTAAAACTCAAATGTCCTCTTTTAGTCTAGTGCTATTTATATCCTCTTCTCGGTTTCCTGCTTTATTTATAAGTAGGAATACCTATGCAATAATAGCATCTCTAAAAGGAAAAATATATTTGCACTGATGTTTTAAAACTTATTTAAATTCTTTAAATAAAAAAGTGGGCTCTTTTTGGTAAGTAATAGAAATTTTGTTGAGTACGTAAAGATTTTTTTTACCTGAAGAGAAGACAAACATGCTCTCCCTTTTTTCTATTTCAAAACGTGAAGCCATCTCTTCCTGACTTGCCTCTTCTTCATCTCGACATTCCTGTAACTGCCTCATCTTTTCCATGAGGGCTTCGACCTCAAAGAAGGAATCACTTACCTAAAGAGAAAATACAATTAATGTTTCATATGTCAGAAAAAGGATGACATTTAAAAATTTTCTTTTAAGATACAAATTCTTTTGAGACAGGCTTAACAATATGGGAAAAATAGATCTTATGATTTTAATGTACATGAATGAATAAAAAATAGAATTATTTTGGCCTATCACATACATTGATATGCAGAAAATTAAAAATGATCTTAGGAACACATTCTTCTTACCTTATAAAATTAGTAATATCATTACTGTTAAGTTTTGAGAATTAAAATTTAATACTAGTTGTCAATTTAAAATAGAACTGCTCAACTAAATAAGATAAAAAGTGGTTTTGCATCAGCTAGGCACATTGGGCATACCGTTAACATATGTCTATCTTCAAATTATAGTAATCATCTCTAGTTTACCAATTAAGAATGAAATGTGTCCTTACGGGGCTGGAATTCTCCACCTGACCTCTGCAAATGAAACTGGCAGCTGTCACTTACTGGGATGACTACAGCAGTGACATCTGTAGTGACAGGTCTGACACAGGCGTACTGGCCAAGAGGGCTTGCACTAGCCAAACGATATATACCTCTCTATACTGCTGCATCCTTACAATGAAAGTAGGATCAAAACTGGAATTTATCGTAAAAAATAGTAAAATATCTTCCCATTTCAAGTCTCAGTGTTCAAATACAAAACTAAAGTTTACCCCGTTATAAATATCTTTGGCTACGAATGCTCTTCCCCCTCCTCTTACACTCTACTTGGCTTACACCCTTGATATGCTTTTCCTGTTCTATCCTCCCATCCTAAACCTTGCCACCGTGTTCTCACACAGCACTCTGCTCTTTGATTCAGAGCACCAAGTACAGTTTGTCTTGTTATTGCAGGACACTGGTTTAATGTGTGCCTCCCTCAGACCGACCCTTCATAAGGGCAGGGGACTATAGGTTTAATTTACTAGTATTTGGTCAGAACCTAGCATAGTACTTGGCACATAGTAGATATTTGCAAAATACTTGTTGCAGAAGGCTCGTCAAGATAATTCTATATTAAGAGACAAATAGTCTAGACTACTAGTGCTTTATATTTTCATACGATCTTAGCAGTTACACCAAAATACCCTCTAGTAAGCACTTTCTCTCACAACTTCGTGATGGAAAGTGCTTCTATGATGTACTGAAGATTCTTCTGGTACATACATCTCCTTAATCACTCCTGAAACAGAGCTGGTAGCCAAATAAAAAAGGGCTGAAAAAGATTATGTTGCTTAAAAGAATGAACTAAGGTTAACAAAAAATAATCAAGGTTTCTGTCAACTCACATTACCATTCATTATACTGTTTATCTACTTCCTTCTAAAACAGCCCATATTTAAGTATTCTTAAGGAAAGACAATTCTTGATATATTTACAGTGAAATAAGAGGAAAAGAAAACAAAGTATATTTCTTTTGCTCTTTGAAAAATCTTTTAAAGCTGTTAGTGTTAAAAAAAAGGTATTTAACATTAAAATGTTAATATTGTCTGAGGAAATTCCTTTTTTTTTTAACCATTTGTATCTGAAGAACTGAGTCAGATATCTAAAATGTACCTGAAGAATAAACTATCAGCTACTGACAAGTGTCATCAGTGTAGGGTGTAAACCTTTTTAAGAATAGCCAACTCAATACCTAAGAATGGGGATTTTACTAGAGAAATTTAAAATTTCTAATTTCTATTTTACTGTTATCTCATGTAACAGAGGGATACCTAGAAATAGTCAAGTGCTTTTTCTTTAGACTTGTTTTTTATTTTTTAACCCTTTTCCCCAAAAATTTTATTAGGAGAAAACTAACAAAACATTTACAATGTTTACAGTCACAATTTGTAGTGAACTGACTCCCCAAAATATATTACAACTCAGTTTGACTTCTCTTGTCATACTCAAAAACCTACTTCTAAGTAGTCCAGAGTATATACATACACGGTGCCAACTATATCTACATATGAACTAAAGCTACTGCTCATTCATCTATTGTCCGGGAAAGCACTCCTGCCTTTCTATACACACACACACACACACACACACACACACACACACACAGGAGAAGTTTTGGAATTTTCTATGATGAAACAAGGCTTATATATATATAAAGTGGTAAATATCTTTTCCTTTTGTGCAGTTGAACTCATCCCACATTCAAATTCTCTCAAGCACTAATAAACAAAATACTTATTTGGTTGAAGAACATTTAGGGCAAGTTCTGGCCCTTCCAAAGGCACTGTGAGACTCCCCGACCTCATTATTTTCTTAAGCCTCGTACTAAATCAAAGGTGAGGAAGGACAACAATCCAATTCCAAGCATCCTAGCAACTGATATATATACCCTCCCTTAGACCATCTCATAATCCTGTTTTAATAAATCAGTGGCCACAGATGGGCCTATAACATTAATCCAGGTAGCTCAATAGAAGGTGAAATTGATGGTCCTGAACTCTGTCAGCACAGCAGTGATCAACTCTGGGAAAAGGATTTCCCTTCACATGCTAATCTCATAATATTTAAATAGTACTTCTCATTTAGCACCTGATAAATGCCAGCTGTATTAGGCCTTACTTTAGAGACCTTTCATTTAAACCTCAAATAATCATGTGTTTGTTTAGACATGAAAGAACAGAGGCTCAGGGAGTTTAGATAACTTGCCCACAGTCAAATATATATATTAAAAGTAATTCAAACTTTAAATATGTTTCAAAGGAATAATATAACTGAGAAAATCTATGCTAAGTATTCAGAAGACTGTGATGCTGTTTCTGTGATTTCTCTTTGGAAACATAAGTACACTATCGCTATAGCAAAAGAATACAAAGGGAATTTTGAATCATTGTATTTAGGAAGTTAAAACCTGCTTATAGAAAATTCAACCTTTTTTAAAAAATATTTTATTTATTCATGAGACACACACAGAGAGGCAGAGACACAGGCAAAGGAAGAAGCAGGCTCCATGCAGGGAGCCCCACGTGAGACTTGATCCCTGGACCCTAGCCGGGGTCACGCCCTGGGCTGAAGGCGGCGCTAAACCGCTGAGTCACCAGGGCTGCCCAAATTCAACCTGTTCTAATTTATTTTAAAGGAATTACACAATTTTGAAAATAAAAAAGTCAGAGAAGAGAAGGAATAGAAGTGAAAACATTTTAATAAATTTACATTCACTTTTAATGAATTTGTGCCGAGTTAAAGATGAAAAAGAATTTTAAAAGAAATTTCCAGGTAAGGGCTGATTTCTTTTATGCAAAAGGAATGAAAAGAATGTGATCAGCATCAGGGAGTCTTGACCACCAAGTTGCATGGTCTCAGCCTCCCCTAATCTCATTGCAGCACGCATTCAATACTAGCTGGCTCTGATGGGGCACATGCTGGTGACTCCAGATCCTAAATTACTCAAGCGTAACCTCCTAGAGGGTCTTATATATAGCCCTTGGCACTAAACTAGTGCTAGGCATTTAGAGGCAGTCAATAAATACTTGCTGAATGAACAGAGGAAGGGGCCTCATATCTCTATGGACTTAATAGGATGGGTTTCCTAAGAAATCACACGAAAAAATAATAAAATGGCAATTACTGTGATTAGTCTTATGATGATCCTATAACAGATAATACATACTTACCGAAACATTTCCTGCTGAGTTGACCTGCATTTCATCCATACTGTGATTGCCATTTGTAATGTCACAGATGCAGTAGTTACTAACCGAAGGAGGTCTGAACGTATGGCCACCATCACAATGAATTTCTGGACTGATTCCACAGCCAAATGTGAATGAAGCAAGAGAATGATAGTGTGTGAGGAGAACTACTGCGTGTACCAGTTCTGCAAGGGACCAGCTGTGTTCTTCAGCTTTTAAAAGTCCCTTAAGAAAAAAAGAGAACATATTTATATATTGGGTTATGGTGCTGGTAAAAGCGAATAGTTCATCTTGGTATTTAATCTATTTAAAATAGAATTAGTCACTATATAAAACCTATGGTAAAATTATAATTTGAGATATGGAGAACCAGAATTTGCTAAAATCATTTTTTTTATGAATTATGTATTTACAAATAGAGCTTAACATAACCTGATAATTAGATTTTCGTTATTTTGATTTTCTGAAATCCTGATTTAAAAATGCAATAGAGCGCATTTTGCTTAAAGGCAGTTGCCATATTTCAGACGCTGCATTATGAATGCATTAATTGTTTAAAGTCTCAATCCAAATGCATTTCAGGTGGAAGGTACTGTATAAAATATGCTTGTGTTTTTCTCTATTATCAAGCTTTCTCAAATAATTTTAGACAGTAGTCTGAACAACTTTACTCTGAATATTCCTAAATCATCAAATTATATTTATTTTAAAAATTATCCTCAAAGTAAACTCTTAACAAATCTGTATCCCTTCTGCTTCACTACTTGTTTTATAATCTTATGTAATTTTGTATCACCACACAATATATACATTAATCCTATTGAAATATCCTAACAAAGATGCTTCAATTATGTAATAATATCTAAAATGTTCTATGAACTAGAAAGATAAACCCTAAAATATGTTGTATTTTTAAGAACTTCTGCATGGTAGATACTTTTAGAGAATGTCTCTACCTTTATTCTATTAATAAACAGAACTAGAAGAAAACAGTTTCAATGGGATTTTAAAAAGGTACACAAGATGCCACTTCACACCTATCAGAATGGCTAAAATCCCAAACACTGATACATCAAATGCTGGTAAGGATGTGGAGAAATAGAAATGCTCATCCAATGCTGGTGGGAATGCAAACTGGTACAGCCACTTTGGAAGACTGTTTCACAGTTTCTTACAAAGCTAAACATAGGTTTACCATGCAATCCAACAATCACACTCCTAATTGTTTACTTGAGTTGAAAATTTGTGTCCACCAAAAAAACCCCCAAAACTGCACGTGAATATTTATGGCAGCTTTATTTATAATTACTCAAAACTATAAGTAACCAAGAAGGCTTTCAAACAAACTGTGGTACCTCCATACATTGTATTACTTAGTAATAAAGAAATGAACCATCAAACCTGGGAAATGCACAGAAGAATCTTAAATGCATACTGATAAGTAAAAGAAGCTAATCTGAAAGGGCTATACACTGTACGATTCCAACTATGTAACATTCTGGAAGAGGCAAAACTATAGACACTCAAAAGATGAGGGGGCAGGGGAGAGAGATGAATAGGAGGAGAACGAGGATTCTTAGAGCAGTGAAACTATTCTGTATGATAGCGTAAAGGTGGACAGGTGACATGCATTTGTCAAAATCCATAGAACTATACAACACAAAGAGTGCACCCTAATGTAGACTACAAATTTTAGTTAATAGTAATATATCAATATGGATTCTTTAATTACAGCAAATGTAATAATTAATGATCCTAGTTTTTTGTTTTTGTTTTTTGTTTTTTTTTGGTTAATGATCCTAGACGTTAACAAGAAAGACTAGGGGGATGTTCAAGGGGGTAGTACAAAACTCTGTACTTTCTGTGCCATTTTTCTGTAAATCTAAAATTGCTCTAAAAAATAAAGTATTTTTAAAAAATCATTTTTTAAGTAACACCCTAGATACATCACATCTACTTACCTCAATATGTTCTTTGGTAATAAGCCAAGGCCTATGGGCTAACACTTTGTTAAGTTCTCCTAAATTTTGTAGTTTTTGAGGAGCATTCTCTAAACCATTAAGCCACTTGGGGTCCCCACCAACATGAAGGAAATCATTTACATGGAGGTTCACTAAGTAGGAACACTGATGTCTTGCTGCAGCCTTAAGAGAAAACAGAAGATCAATCTAACTATATATATTAAAGTCTTCCTTTATAAAGTGCAAAAGAGCAAGTTTTTGATTAGTTTGTTTATAAGTTTTCCATAAATTACAGAAATGCGGTTTTACATAAACATTAAAAAAATTACATATACCACAGAAAGTACCTCATAAAAATCCCAAGAACAAACGAAATATCTGATAAAAGTATCTGAGCCTTAGAAATTGTGTTTATATTAACAACTTGCAGATCCTCAGATTAACAAACTTCAATTAAAGTGCCAACCATAAAATAATGGAGTATAATTTACAAATAAAAAACGAGTAGCACCACTTATGTCAATGTGAACTACCTGTAATAATGGAATAGATCTTGTATTCTTCTTTATTCTCATTTAATGGAAGATGGTTCTGAATAGTACTTTTTTTTTTTACTGTTACACTTGAAAGTATACTTATTTAGAAAGAGGAAAACCATATCCTACCTAACAGGAATCCAATTAGAAGTCAGAATAGAAGTATTTATCCCTGTGTTTAAAGCATTAACCATCTGTTAAAAACATTAATAAAGGAGGCAGAAAGAATTTTTCACTTAATGTTTACAAACCATAATTCCGATGTAGTGCCGATAATGTAAGGGTAATGGCCCATCCATTTGCAGTAGATAGTGTTGAGTTTTTAGAAAACTTTCTAGATATTGTGGGTGAAAAACCATCACTAATGTAATGTTATCCAAACGACCCAAAGCAGCAAAAGAATCTGCAAATAAGGTGTGCATCTGTGCGTCTTCACTCCCCACTTGGAGAATCTGTATAAAAGAGAGGAAAATCATGGTTACATAAATTGTAAATTGGTGTTAGAATGCAGTGCATACCTATTTTAAGTGTCATAGAAGCACGTTAAATGTGAGTTGAGAGAGAGGTTATAATTCTGAAAATTTAACTCAACTGGTAGCAAGACAGAAGAATAAACAGTCACATATTATGTAGGAGGAGATAAATTAAAAAGCCTGAACATTAAAGGCCATCTAGATAGGCAGCTTGCAGACTTGGCCAGAATCCAAATAAAGCAGCAGATTTAGATTATCAAATTTGCAGACACTAAAGCTTCTCCCCTTTCCTTTTAACATCTACTCTCACTTATTTGTAGAGAACCAAAATTAACGGCAAACAATCTTTAAAAACAAAGCATAGGAGCCTTCACATATTTAGAATTAAAGATCCAATCTTGCCTTGATACCAGCCTGCGGAGATGGCCAAAACCAAGTAACTCAGCTTATGGGCATACACCTAAACATCTAAATATAAAGGAGATGGTGTTTCACTGGTCAAAAACAAGTCTGGACTTTCCTTGATTTTAAATATGGGTGTTAGAAAAGCACCATGAAATACTAGAAATCAACATGACTGTAACAGCTTTCTAATCCCACAGATTCACTGCCAAAGCATGATAATTAACTGTGATCAACTCTGTGTAAAACATGTTGTTGTCCAACAGTTGTTCAGATGCCAAGATGTGGGTCATGAAAGCTTTTCCTTAAAAGCATATGGTTCACTATGTACTTTCACAAACAACATACCTCCTTTTCTGGTATGAATCTGCTTGGTCCGTGTCCTAGTGGTCGAGGAATTCTAATTCCAAGTTCCTAGAAAAGAAAATTACACCATCTTAAGCCTCCAGCTGTAAACAACATGAACTGAGGCTACAGGAATAGGAGGGAAAAACAACCAGTTGAACAGAGACAGGCTTGTTTTGGTGGTTTGTTTTCAATGCCATATATATATATATATATACACACACACACACACACACACACTCTCACACACCAACTCCTCTGTTTGCATCGCATAGCTGACAACAGCTTATAACATGACTCTAACTAAAAACAATAAAACCTGTTTCACTAAAACCAGAGTTTTGCATAAAGTACTTGGCAGAAAGTCTAGAACAGAAAGTTCAGCACATAGCAACCAACCCTGTGGATTGTCAGTGATACAAAATAAGACCAATGTGTTTGTACATCCAAAACTCAACAAACCAAAACATCAATCCCTGTGTATCTTGTCAGGAAATGGGACAGCACTAACTTTTACATAGATGTCTTAAACTGAAAAAGAGTGATCTATAATAACACTTCACAATAAGAGAAGAAATACTATGAAAAATAAAAAGTAGTTACTTAAATCCACAAAACGGAAAGTACTGCAAGGGCATGTTTTTCTAAACTGTGGCAGAGTAAAACAATCTTAGAGAAAGTAATTTTTTGAGTTTGCTTTAAATTTTTTACATACTATAATGGTATCAACTTTGCTTATATTTTAGAGAAACTCAACTAATTAAGAAATAAAGGTTTTCTGCCCTTTGACATAGTGAATCTAGAATCCTGTACTTGGAATCTACTAAAAGCCTTTATTTTATGAGACAGCATAGCACGGTTAACAAAAACTGATAATCAAGTGGTAGGGGTCCATCTTTTCCCCCAATACAGAGTGCCTACAGAAACAAAACCAAATTAATACAACCTTTTGTTCTTTAAGGTTCATTTCTTATCAATCTGGTTTCTTAAAAAAACAAAACAAAAAAATTCCTAGAGTTTACATATCTAAATATTAACTCTTGCTTATACAATTACATACAAATCTTATTTCTACCCTACACTGCTTCCAAAAGTCCAACAAGATGATCCTTTTAAAGCATAAGGGGGGAGAAGGTAGACAGAGATGAATAGGTGTCAGCAATTCAAAAAATCTGGTCCAAGTGAATGAAAACCTTTTAAGCAGAATGGGTTTTTAAAAATTAAGCCAGCAGGACAAAACTGAAGAAAATCTTTATTGGGAGAATTTAAGACTTGGATTCAAGGTAGGCTATCATTGCCAACTAAATCTATGAAATATAATTCAAATAGTCTTGTATTGGAAGTTAGTAATGTCTTATTCCACTCTTTTACTGTACATAGCAATACTCTATACCCTTCATTAGAGGAGGCACTCATTTCGCTGGCAGTGTGTGTGTCTTGATTTTAACAGCCTATTAAAAAATTGCAAGAAAAAACTCCACATTCCTGCTATTCAATACATCATCTTGGCACAAATGCAGCCATTTATATAAAACAATGACTCTATCAGCCTTTCTAACTGCTGAATTTCTGATCCAATTACATAGATTTCAAACAAGATATATTGGGCAAAATATTAAGGTTAAAATCAGTTATTTATTCCTTATTTCTTCACTAGCGTATTTAAATAAAATGGATTTTAGGAAAACATCCATTTTAAGGTTTTATTATTCATTTTATTTTTTTTTAATTTTTAATTTTTAATTTATTTTTATTTATTTATGATAGTCACACACACACAGAGAGAGAGGCAGAGACATAGGCAGAGGGAGAAGCAGGCTCCATGCACCGGGAGCCCGATGTGGGATTCGATCCCGGGTCTCCAGGATCGCGCCCTGGGCCAAAGGCCGGCGCCAAACCACTGCGCCACCCAGGGATCCCTATTATTCATTTTATACCTAAGAGACACTACTATTCTTGAGGCTTTAGTACATAAAAAGGTAGTATTTCAAATGGAGGAGAAAAGGATTATTCAACAAATAATCTTGATACAACTAGAAAATCTAAACTGCCACTCAGAAAAAAGTGAAGTTGGAACCATAAATCATACTTGACTCCACAACAAATCAGAGGTAAATGTAAAAAACAAAAACAAAAACAAAACATTAGCGTTAGAAGAAAACACTCATGGAATGAAGTTAGGCCTAAGAGTGCCATAAAAGCCCAGACGTTACACACTAGGAGACTGATAAATTTGATGACATAAAAATACTTTCACATGGGAAAAATAAACATATAAAAAGTCAAAAGCAAACAGAAAACTAAGAAATACATTTGCAACTCCTCCATCAAAAGGGTTAAATTTCTTGAATACATAAGATTCCTACAAGTAAGAAAGAAAACCCCCAACAAGTTGATAGAAAAATGAAGGACATGGACAGTTCAAAAAAACGAAATACAAATGGCTGAAAAATTATCACCCTCACAATAAACCTTCAAGTTAACTACACAGAGATACTATTTCTCACCCAAAAGATTGCTTAAGATCAAAAGTTTAGTAACAGGCTGTGCTGAAGAGAGGTTGAGAAGTAGTCATTCATTACTTTTATGTTTCTGATGTGAGTGTTCTGAACTGTGAGGAAATTCGATAAAAAAATACGTAAGTATAAACTACTACAACCCACAGAGAGGGCATTTTGTAATAATGATTGAAATTAAAAAGTCAGAAATCCTTTGAGTCAATAACTTCATCTTAAATGTTAACCTGTACATGTCATATGTAAAAAGACAATCACTGCAACATTGTTTCTAACAGTATAAGATATAAAACAATCTAAGTGCTCATCAACAGGACTATTTCAATGTAGTATGACCACAGACTGGAATAGCATGCAGTCCTTACAAAGAATGAAGCAATTCTACATGAGTTGGCTTTAAAATATCTCCAAGATAGATACAAATATATATAGGTAGATATAAGTGTATATATCTCTATATAAACATATACCTATATTACCATGTTATTAATATTAGTTAATATATTATTGATATATTAATATATCAATCATATTATATATTAATTATATCTATATTAATTAATTATATCTTTATTAAAACATATATATATACGCACACACACACAGTGTGTGTGTGTGTAGGGAGCAAAGTGCCTAATATGTATGTATGTATTATGTCACTACCTGTAAGGAGAAGGAAAACATTAGCAATTCCATTTCTAGGACTTTACATTTACATTAGCAACATATGGGTGGCATATATATATTTTTAGTAACAAGACTGATAGCACATGGGCTTCAAAACAAAAAGGCTGAATTATATTATTTGGTTTTGTTTCTATACCAAATATATATTGAGCTCAAATATATATCGAGCTATCATAAAACAATAGCTTTAGAATTCCAGGAAACTATCAGTGTTTCAGAAATGGAGTATCTTCCTATAGGTATGGCCAAGGGTCCTTCCCAATGGTCCTATGTAATTGTCAAGTCTGTAAAGTCCACCCCTACAGCCAAATTTAGTGATTATAATAGTTATCACTGTCTCCCAATTCCTTGCCTTCAATGGGCAAAACCTTCCTTCCCAATTCCTTTAAAAATATATTCCTTTAGAATGAAAAACTATGTGTGTTCAAAGAAGGATGTTAATCAAAAGCAAACATTCTTGGGAATGGATTATAGTAGACTATTATGCCAATAGCCTCTTAGTGTTAAGGTCATATTCATTTGTCGATGAGGTATAAGTCTGGCAAGAAAGCTGGAGACAGTAAGTAGAAAAACTGAAGAAAGGAATGGAAAAAAGTCTCTGACATTTGAGATTCTAATTTCATTATTTTCCTTAAGGCTAGTTCCAGATAAAGTTTTACCCAGCTCACACTTAGACTACCAAGGTTAATTTCCTACTAAGCTGAAGAGGTTGTGACAGGTTTGTGCTATTCCTAAAAAGGAGAAAGGGAAATGGTAGGAAGGAAAAAGAGAGGAAGTAAAAGACAGACTGGGGGTGAGGGAAGGGAGACACCGATTTTCTTAAAAAAAAAAAAAAAAAATCACCACGTCTTTCTCAAAAAGAGTTGATCAAGACTGATATAATGGAAAATATAGTTAGTGCTACTCTAAACTCACATCAATTTACTCTCCTAGATTTGAAGGCTAGACTCAAAAAGATGTCCCTTGTTCTCCTTCTTACTTAATAGACTAGGTACGTGAGAAGGATACAAGAATATGACTTGATGAACTCTAAGACTCCATTCCAATTTATCCTAGTCTAGATTCAGGCAGGAAAGAGATTTTATAATTTATATTTACAGATATCAAATTATATATATTTATATAACATAAGCTATAAAATAATTACATATGATATTTTAAAAATATTAGTACATAATTTGAAATCAAGTACTTAGTTCTGTTAGTGAGTGATGGAGAGAGAGGCCGAATCTAGGAAATCTGGTTCCAGAGTTGGTGTTTTTAATTTTTACTCTTTTGAGCCTTTTAAAGAGTTTCTGATACCTAAAAGGTCCTTCTAGATACCACTGTTAGCATAAAACAGTATTTTTGGTTCCTAAAAGGTTAAATGTTTCAGTTTTCTGGAAAATTCATTTTTGAAACACTTCTTTTCCTAGTCAACATGACAAATTAGTTACTGCTCTATTTTCTAGCAGGTACTGATTTAAAAAAGGTACGGCAGGTCTTCAATAGGGTGATCATAAGCCAAACTAACTGTGTTTCATAACTTCAATTATGCCTTATCTGTAGCTGTTAAAGAAAATGAATTACAGACCTTGAACAAATTTTGGCCAATCCAGATTCTAAGAGGCAGAGCTGCCAACAGCAAATGGCCTTGTTTAAAAAGCAGATGTAGATGCTAATCACAGCACAAACCTCACAGGCTCTTGGTGAAGGTGTGGCTGGCTGGAAAAACTAACATGGGAACTAACAGTTCTCTCTCCTCTCAACAATCCTCCTAATCAGCATTTTGAAAAAGAGAGCAACAGCCTCTGCCATGACAACACTGCTGCAAATCTGACATAATACCTATTTTTTCATTAGTGTATAATATATATTTATATATAT